TCCACACCAGTTCTTGCAAACACTGGGGTCTCTCTTTTCGGTAGTTTGACAAGGTAGTCCCTCTCCCAATCGATCAGCAGGTACCTTCCCTTCCTTCCTTCCTCCCTTCCTTCCTTCCCTCCTTCCCTCCTTCCTTCCTTCCACACCTTCTGCAATAGTGGTGTAGTGTGAGCATGTCCACTGTTGTCTCTGCGTCTGTTCTCAGTGCTTGTGGTGGGATTCCATCTGGTCCTGCTGCTTTCCCACATCTCAGCAGCTTTATGGACTTCTGGACTTGGACTTTCATCGGAGGGCTTGTGTTCACTTGTAGATCTGTAGCCGGGTTGCAGGTGGTGTTTCTGGACGAAGTGCAGGTGGTGGTGGTAGTGGTGGTCGATTCAAGAGCTTTTTGAAGTGGTGGTCACCCCATCGTTTCCTTTGTTTCTCTTCTTTAGTAATTAGATTTCCTTCATCATCTTTTATTAGTTTCATCTGCGTAGATCTCTTCTCAGATAGTAACCTGGTTATTTGATACAATGTTGTCAGGTCTCTGTCTCTCCTACCTGCAGCCTGCAGCCTGTTGTGCTTCACTTGCCAGTGTTTCGTAGAAATGTCTTTCATCTTTCCGTGCACTCTTCTTCACTCCTTTGTCCAGTGTAGTGTTTATACGTTGCACTCAGTTCCTCTTCTGGTTGTGCATCCTTGCACTGCTTCATCTTCTCTTTCACCATCACCACCTTCCTCTCCCTCCTCTATCAACTTCCATGTGTCCATCGAGATCACTTCCTTATATTCTTTCTTGTTCCTCCCTGACACGGTTATTCAGATTTCCTTCCACATAGCTTTCAAAGACTTCCAGTATTCTTCCACACAGGTTTCTTCAGGGATGTCCCTCGATATCTCCCATTTTGTCTTGATGCCCGACTGATGTGAAGATCTCCTTTGTAGTTTCGTCCTTCAGTTCAGTTACTGTTCTGGGTGGGCGTTGACCTTGGAGTTGAACAGTGGTCTATCACCAACTGTTTTGGAGGCTTTCAACTTGATTTCGAAGGTTCCTTGCACTTGATAGTGAATGGTGTGAACCTACATCTGCTCCTCTTCTTGGTCTTGTTTACAGCAGGCTGCGTCTCCACTTTCTTCACATTGAGATGAAGTCGATCTGATTTCTAGTGTGTCCATTTGGTGAAATCAGATCCATGTCACTTTGTGAATATACTTGTGCTTGAACACACTACCTCCAATCTCCAATTCGTTGAATGCGCAGAATTCTGCAAACAATTCTCCATTCTCATTCATCACCTCACCCAGCGCTTCTCGACCCATGATGAGTTCTCTTCCTGTGTTGTCCCCTCCCAGTTTGGCATTCATCTCACTTCACCCATTAGAATTTCGATGTCGCCACCTGAGGTCTTGTCCAGTGCTGATTGCAGTTGTCTGTAGAATTCCTCCTTCTCCTCTTCATCTGCATTATTTGTGGGTGCATAGCGTAGCATTGTATGATTGTAATTTTCCTTCCTTTTGAGTTGAACCTTGCTGTCATGATCCTGATCGTGATCCTGATGCTGCAGGAGATTGCTTCCCACTGCATGAGAGAGAGCCTTCGATGCTGTTGGCAGGGGGACATCATGATAGCCACTCGAGAACTCAGTGTGCTTTGCTCGTGGTTGTCGTGTTGTCTGGGTGACAATATCGGAGTAGATTATAGACTCTCCATTTGACATTTTGGAGAGTCCACTTCCATTCCATCTGCTTTCGCGAATTCTGAGCACTTCAATGTGATACCTCCTCATCTCGTTTGCAATCTGGCCAACCTTGCTAGGTTCAAACATGGTGCGGACATTCCATGTCCCCACGTTTACTTTCGCTTTCATCGAGAGAAGAGAAGACACATCGGCCCGCCAATTGGCTTGCTGAAGGCTTTCACCAACTCGCGTTATTTCGCCTCTCCGATTCAAGCGAGGAGTAATTTTGTTTTTATTTTATATATTTTGTTTGTGCAGTGAAGTTTGTTTGGCGGTTGGATTGGTTTTACGGGGTAGGGTTGGTAGCCCTATGCCCAACCTTCCTTCTTTACTTGTGCTTAGGATCGGCTAATAACTAGTGAACTGGTTAACCGGGCGAGGTTGCTTACAAATTATAATTTTGCTAATTTTAAATTCTCATTCTCAAAATATTTTTAGTTGGAAGATAGAAAATATAAGTGCTTGGAATTAGTAAACTTATTTTTGGAGCGGTTAAGATTTAAAATATTGATACGGTAACAGAGGCTTTTATGATGTAGGTTATTCCTCACTTAATTTACTGGTCCTTCTAAATGTTTATTTGATAACTGATACTAGGTAGAAGGAAGAAAAACTCTTTTGAAGGTCTCTTTCCGCTTGTTATTCATTGGTGTACATATCAAGGATCTTCCAGACATGCAAAAGAATTAGGGGAACGACGAAAGGCCTGGATTTTATTAGCTTAATCTAACTAAGCAAAATAATTTTAAACGTTACTGATTCGAAAATACGCCTAATAAAAGCACATATAATACTATGTTGATTAACTGAATATGATTGAAGGTGAAATGAAAATTTGAACCACGACTGCATTCGAACCAGAGACTACCGGGTTTCTAGAACGATGTTTCACCTCATAGCTCCGTTGGTAGAGCATCGGGCCGGAAACTCGGTAGTTGCTGGCTCGAATACGGCGGCTGTTCAAATTTTCACTTCACCTTCAACCATCACCCAGTATAAATACTATCCTGCCAAACCACAGCTATTTCAAGTAGTCAAATGATAGTAAATATGATTCTCTGTTTATTGGTGCTTGAAGTTTCTCGTTTATTACTATTATACTGCACCAAATTGACCTGTCTTTCGTGTAACAGAGGCTTCTTGAACAGATGCTTCATTGTTCCCTTAATTTTTATCCTGATGTTATTTTCTTGATGATGCTGAGAAGTGAGATAAGGACGCACGTTTCACCACATTTAGTACTTGTCAGTTGTACGCAATTGCATCCCAGTGACAGATATTGTTCTCGCTGACAATCGAGTCCATAGTCCATCGCATCGAAAACCAGGCCATTATACACTAGGCTACTGAATCGTTAGAGTCATCTGTTGTGCAACAAGTATTATCTATTATTTATTGAAAAGTAACACGAGGTCTGCATCCCTCTGAAAGCCATCACTAAGCTATTGACATTAAATAGAATATGAGTAAGTTATAATGTGCACTCCATGGTAGCATAATTCTGGTTCAAAATTCACGACATCATAGAACTTTTACATATAACAGTATTTGTATAGAAGTGAATAAGCAGACTTGTAAACTACCTTTATAAACATCATGAAGAATGCACCTGAAAACAATGATGCCTACCTACTGTTAATAAGTACAAAAATTCCAACAGACGTTACTATTTCTTGGTAATTTTCTTGCTTACATTGCAACAAACAGATAATGATCATGGACAAAGTCATGGGACTCAGCTGTTGACCAGATCTTAATTTCAGTTTAATCACAAAGGGTTTTACTTAACTACCGTTTGAATTTGTAAAGGGTTACTATCATTTGGTCGTATTCAGACTTGCTGCCTAGTCAGAACTTCTCATCCCAATCCAAATCAACGTAAAAGCAGAGAGAAAGAGCATCATATTGTTCATTAGTTTGAATATCTTTGAAATCCGGTAATCACTAGTTCGAATCCTACAAAGTTCCAAATCTGGTTCCAATAAGATGCTTTTTAAAGGGGTTCATTCGAAAGATAACCTCTCTCCCTCTCTCTCTCTCTCCATATATATATATATATATATATATATATATATATATATATATATGGTGGCAACACACGATCTCAGTTTATTCCTGTATTACGTTTCATTTACTTGCTAGTATCCTGATTAAAGATCAAATTAGTTTGTCCACAATCCAGTTTATTGTCTGTCCGAGTAGTCAACATCAAATTATGTAGCTCTCTTTGGTCTACATCATAGGGATACCGACTACTGTCTGGATTCTATATGTCGTAGTTAATAATCTACCAATCATTTCACTTTACACAACTTAGTCATGACTTATAGAATTCTTCTGGTTAATGAGGCTTGGTTAGTGTATTTTCCTTTCAAGAGTAAAATGATAAGTACACCTCTGTTGTTATATGCACCTATTGTCAACAGCTTCCTTCAGAACTAAAACAAACCACTTGGAGGATCTGTTATTTCACAAAACATTAGTCACTAAGGTTAACTAACACGGCTACATGTTACTTTCATGCTTACTTCCTTATTTAATCCAAATCACTGCATCACAATTTAGTTTCACCATTCTTTTTGAAAAGGTTATTTACCGGTTCCATAATAACGTTGAATAAACTGTTATTCTTTTCAGATTTTCGGTCATCAGAATCGAAAGACTACTACTGAACTGTTACTATTATTGTAAGGGCTTTGACAGTAAGCCGCAAAGTAGAATACAGATGTTAGATAGTTCCTAAAAAGTATTTTGCTTTCCTAAGGACTAATTACAAAGTTCCTGATACCATTTTGAAATTCATGCCGGTGCTGTTTCTTTGCAAACGAATACGAGGAAATACAGTCAACTTCAAAGGTATCTCTGGTTACAATCCGAAATAAACAATATTGTCGAGAAAGCCGCATTAACGTTGGTAGGGTATACATTTTATTGGCTTCTAAATAGTAGGTAAACCTGAGGCTAGTAATTACCAAAAGAGGTTGAACAATTCAATCCATTATAGCAATGGGTTCACCTAACGGGTCTCGAATAGGATGAGGTGAACGTCAGGGATTTCACTGAGAGTCACCAAGATGAATACAACATAAATGTTAACAAGTTCGAAAAAATGATCCCATCATTTAACCCAGTAACAGCGAGTTTTTCAAGCTATTCACAAAAATCCAAGGAATTACTGTAGTAGAATTATGTAAACAAACAAACGTCGAGGAATTTGACCTTGGATATTTTCAGTGAAACAATAATGTAATCCAAATAGTTAAATACATCAAAACTTACATTGAATATTTAAATGGACTTCATCAGAAGATGCAGATCCCATAGAATTTGTAGCAGTACATTTTAGAAAGCCACTATCATCCATAAAAGTGAAATCATTTGATTTTTGGGTATCCACATAATTTGAAAACGCTTTCCATGTTTGTTTACTTTCATCCATTTCAGTGAATGTAAAGATTTTCCTAAATTGACCACTGGAATGTCGAATAAACCAGGTTACTTCCGGCCTTGGATTGACACCGGTTATAAGGCAACTGAAATAATATAACTTTCCACTAGTTAGTGTAAGAGTCTTTTCTGTAGTTTGTTGATAATTTAACAGCTCTGTGCTCTTAGGAGCAGTTTCATCAATTCTCATTATTTGAAGGGGGTATTTTGGAGGCACTGAAAGGAATAAGTTGAGTAGAAACAAGAAAGTTCTGCCATTCAAAGAACTGACAAATATACATGAGCTCAAACAGAATAGTGAAGAGCATTAACACTAGTTCATAGTAGTGGAGTTTACTTTTATCGATTTATAGTGATCATCAGAATCGTTCACACGTTATCAAACTAAATTCATAGTTATAATTGTGTTCAGTAACAGACTAACTCCCCTTCAGTAAATTCAGTTTATGGGGAAATTTTATCAAACATGAAATTCATTTGATATTTGCATGTTTACAAATCTGAATGGTATGAATTATTAGTTTCGGAACACTACATATATTATGGAGCATTTTAAGCAGTGACAGATAACACTTCTACTTGTTTTACTAGATCGATTTTATCCTATTCAGGAGAACAGACAACATTGCTGATCTCTGAAAGATGGAGCTGATAGCAGTTCAGGAAGTAGTTCTTTTATGTTGTACTCATGAATAACTATAGGATTATCACATCACAAATTTGAGTTTTTAAGTCAGTATGTTTTTCTACGGAGTCAGAGGAGCATTAATAAGTTAGATGGACATAGAATTAAATGTTTCCATTAAGTGTGTATAATTATCAAAGTAGAACAAGCAAGGGATTCAAACCAATGAGATGTTCGAGTGGTGAGGACCATTACTTGGCTATTCTAATGGTTCTTGGAATGTAGCTTTTAGCTGACAACACAGATTTCCTCTTATTATTATCGTTCATTTTTCTGTACTGGCTGTAAAAAGATCTTTGGAACCTCATTTTTAGACTATAAATAAAGGTTAAGTGTAAAACTTGGGCAGTGCAGTAGGATTTGATTTCATATTACATTTGTTTATTCTATTGATGATACACAGTGATACAGTATTATTTACTTGGGTCGGAATCCAATGATCTATATTCCCTACTTCTGTCAGTTAACGACATAACGCAAACATCATCCAGTATCATTGTTGAGTAGTTGTCCCTGCGGCCACCAGGTTTGCTCCACCAGTCACGACTTCTCATTTGAACTTCAGGAAACATCTCTCGAAGTTAGCCGCCAGTGAGCACTAGTTCAATTGAATTTGGGGCATTGTGGGGATTTAGTGATTTTTCAAGTTGGTATTCATCATAGAGTGACATCAGTTGAGGGAACATTATAAACCTGGGAACACTGGATATCTGTTTCGTCCTAGCATGGGACTCCTCAACAGTGTGCACTCACGACCCTACACTACCAGAGGTCGAACCCAGGACTTTTTGGTTCTATGGCCAGCAAAATTCCATCGAGCCACCGGGTCGGAATCCAATGGTCCATAAATTAAGGTATCTTGGAAATAAGCTGTAGGTTTGTATTTCATTATATATAAACTCGTGTTTTGATGCTTGAGATCTTTATTAACTTCTTGCAGAATTGCTCATATGAACAAGCATCAAACACTCTCATCTATGATTATTTTTAGTCTAGGCAGGAAAAACTACACACTTTGTGTTTTGTGGTTGTTTTTCTTCATTTCATTCAGAATACAATTTCCAGTCAGTCTTCACTTAGTGTTCCTCAGTAAGTACTTAAAAACAAACCTTGTATAGTTTAAAATATCGTAAAAAATTAGAAGAGTATTTCTTCCTATCTTTAGTCGATATGTAGTAAATATACTAGAGGTGCCTTAAAATAACGTTCTTTCTTCAGTGCATATTTAAATAAGTGGACTTTAGTAGTTTCTGAGTGCTGAGCACGAGACTGAACTTCTAGGCTGTGATGCCTCTAAATAGAACGAAAACCTGGGGGATAGATACTTTAGAGTACACCACACTAAGTATGATAGTCGCTGAAGACTTCACAAAAAAAACACCGCCTCATATTCAAACAACATATTCTGTAGTTTTCTACAGTGGCACTCAGCAGAATTCACATAAGCACTGGCTTTTATATTGACATATATATTTCTTAGTTACTAGTTGAGTGAACCCCTAATTCATAAATTCAGTTAGATCACTTCACATTCAGCTTGTTTGAATCCGAATTTTGATCTGTACATTTAACTTTTCATAGCACTAAGTAATGCAGAGTGATTGTGTACTAAAAACCATTAAATTGAACGACATCAGTAACTGATTGACCAGTTATTTCTGATTACGTCAAAATAACTACCATTTGATGGGTTACGTATACCGAAAGTGATAAAATTGGATCTGTTCAACATTGAACACTCAAGCTGTAAAGTGATGTTTCGTCATTTTAAGTGTGTGAAATACGATTGTGATTAAATACCTTAGCTAAGTGCAGGGTATTGTGTCAGATGTAGTACAGTCAGATCGTTACTTTGGGAAAGAGAACTGTTCAAGAGGAAAATTAAACTAATTCCCAAAAGATTATGACTGATTACGGTCAAGATAATCGTCAAGATCTTAGTCTGAAAATATTTTTCATGATGTTATAGGTTTGAACAAAGATGAACTGTAAGTCGTGTAGGATGGGAAAGCTGTTTTATCACTGTATTTTGGTGTCTGATTGTGGAATTCGACCAAATGGAAACCCTGACCCAGTAATGAGGAAACTAGTGTTTCCTCGATGATTCAAACACGCGTAACTCAGTGCTGAAGTCAGAGACCTAACCAGTAAGCTACTTAAACCATTACTAACCCCTTGCAGGACTGTTATTCACCAATGGGAAATCCATGACGTGATACTGCACTGCTTTGTATTTCAGTGTTAGATGGTGGAAGTCTAGGTTTAGGGCTTTCTGCCGATTGATACTCACTGTTAAGTGCCGAATAACAGTAAGCCATAGTGTCACTTTGTTTAACGGCCACAGTGCGAGACTTGGTCGATAGACCATGTCAGTGCTAAGCACCAACGACTAGAGAGACAGCTACATGAGTTACCCACTGGTGGCCATCTCGTGTTTTATCATTGTTTGAGACTTCTACAGGTAGTGTTTATCCTCCGGTTTTGAACCTTCCTTGAAGATAATTTCATTACTGTCTCTACTTTCAAATCTTACTATAAGAGTTAACTAACTTCTATCATTTCACTGCAAAGTAATATCATCGTCTTAAATCACCCACCGCATGTATTCTAATCACAGATTTAACTGACATGGAAAACGTTTGAAAATGTCCAAAACAAATTATTAATAACTAATGAATAATTACTTGAATACATGGTTTTTGACCAAATTATTAGTCAGAGGAAAGGAGAGAAAATTAATGACTACGAAATATTGACTAGCTATTTTATTTTTCTCTCCAGCTTGAATTCGGCGAACACATCCTGTCGTGGATCCTCCTCATACAGTTACAACTATCCCACATCTTCCTGAACTTAAGCTTGACATAGGCAGTTTAGGTATTCGTTTGACTGAGAGTTGATCATATAATTGACTGTCATCTATTCAAAACTATGCACAATCAGAATACGAATTAGAAACAAGGATATAAACGTCACCAATACTGCTACTCAATAGAAATAAACAATCGAAAGTGAAAATAATTCCATATATATATACATGTATGAGTATACCTCGTAAGAATAGATACTAATTGTTATCATAATCGTTGAAACGCTAATGGTAAGGGATGGAAATAATCATATTTCCATCTTTTAGTTAAAAGTATTCATTCACAGTAGAGAGAGTTAAAAAGCTTAATAACTATACCAATATAGATGTAAAATATAATTATACAAGTATTAGTAGGATGATTTCTAATGACATAAAGATAACATCTTTCACTTGCCTTGATCAACATTTGTTCACTGCATACATATTAAATGTATACTATAATTACTTGTTTTTGATTGTACACAGAACAAGTTATGTATGCTTTTACTATTCAGTTGTATACAAAGTTTGCAATAAGCCAATGGACAATACTTTGGTAGTAGAAATAGGAAAGATCATAAGTATTTGGTCTGTCATCATAGTTTTAGTATTGTAATTTTATTTTATACACCTTTTGTCCTTCTATGAAGTTTTGTATGTTACTGAAATATTCTAGCTGAGAATCAAAATTCATAGGGATAAATGTTTATGTGACTGTTGAGATCCCTTGAACTTTCATCTTAAACTAACTTAAACATTCCTGTTCTGCGTTGACTACCTGAAAGTAACTCAAAGAATTCTTTGAACATAAGCATGATATCCGCTGAAAATTAGATGGATGACGGCTTTTTATCCATCTATGAGGAGGAAAATCGGAAACTAGCTAGGGTTGTAATACACTACAAATCAGGAAAGCTTTTCTGCTAAGTGACAGTTTACGCTACCAGTGAAAGTGCTGACCAGTAAATTTTTGTAGTCAAATCAGTTTGTATCATCAAAGCAATGAAATAACAATAGCATTGTTACTTTTTCGCTTTCATTATCGTTTACAACATTTTAGCTTCTCCTCTGATTTCTTGCGACTATGGAGAGAATAACTTTATCAGACTGAGGATGTTATTGAATTAATTGAACAGAATGATTTGATTGTCGGGTCAACTACATACTTCAAGCCAGCCGATATAGATAATTTAAATTATCGGAGTATAAGAACTCAATCAAAATAAGAACTACAGACCACACCGAGATGAATAGTCTACGAAACATCTCAGCTGTTGCATTTTATTCCGTTGCACATATTCATTGAATGGAATAAGATTAAGCAACTGAATGCCAACTATATTTAGTTGGTTGACTATCGAATCTACGTTTATCGAGTTGACACACCAAAAGTAATCGGAATATCACAATATTCATCCTGAAGATATGGAAAATTCAGATACCACTAAAACTAGAGAATACGGGTTTATGAAAGTAAGAACACCAGTTACTTGATGTCATGTGATTGCTTATATATGATTCCGAGTAATGACTTCTGCTTGAAATATTCATTCATCACTGTGTGCCATATCAAACAGATAAATCTAACATGGAATGACATTCTACCACAGAAATTGAGCTTCACTTTAATACTAGTGTGTACCGAATGTTTAAAAAGTAATTTCATTTCATTTTATAGAGGTTTTACTCATTAATTAGTAGGGCAAATAGATAAGGAATTCTCAAGCAATAAATCAGGTAGCGTTTTGTCTTCTCTTGATAGTGCATTGTATACAAAAAAGCACTAGAGGATGAAACAGTAGTACAAATTTGAGATTAGCATACTCAAAAACACTACTCATAGTCAGTATTAGTCAACTGGTTTATGTGTAACTGATATATTTATTGAACCGTTGACAGCATAGTAAAGTAGTAAAACATGAGACCAAGTTGTATTTCATGGCAGAAGTGAACTAAAGTATTACAGAATATTTATGATTTCAAAGAATTAAGTGGGAAAAACATCTTACCTAATATATTTAAATATCCGCGTTTATCATATGCATCTAAATTTACTATGACTTGACACTGAAATAAGCCATTCATTTCTGGTTGTAAGTTAACTAATTTAAGTGTGAATAATTGTCTTGTTTGAATAAATTCATGGTCATCTGATGGGAGGGTTATTCCTACTGTAGTTGGGTTATTAAATAATGATTGACTGAATTCATTCAATCTGATGTACTGGTTAACAAATTCACATGCATTCGGTGGTTCTGGACATCTGGCTAAATCATCATCATTATGAATAAAACTCCAAATATTCGGTGCTGGATCTTTATGTGAATGTCTAAATCTCCATATCACATAGACACTGTCAGTTGGTTTTGGTCTAACAGGAAGCTGACATCTTAAATGGATTGTTGAGTTTATTGGTATGCTTAGATTGGTTGGAGTTTCAGAGAGTTCCAGTTGAAAAGTTGAATCAGTATTCAATGAATAAACTACTAAAATAGAAAATCAGTGAATTAAAAAGGCATTTGTGTTACCTTGTCACGGATGCTATAAAACACAATTTATAACAGGTTAATTTGACAAAAGGTTAAAAGTTTCATTGTCTTATTGTAAAAAATTGATTATAACACCTGGATGTTTGAATGAATAAACGAGTTTTCCTAAGATAGTCTTTTCTTGACTTTCCATTTACCATTCAGTAAAAGAAAAACAAAAATGCTTGTAGCATAAAATAAATGTCATATGCAATTTATAAGATAATGTAGTTTCGAAAGATAATTGCAACTTCATGATAACACATTCTTCTTCATAGATCACAACATTGGAAAAGTTATTTTCCAAGATATCATGGAGAAAAAACAACACAACTCAGGAAAAGGTTACTTGAATAAACAACGAGGTCAGATAATGACTGGCATATACGGTCTGGCACATAAAGCTGAATATAAATGTTCCTTTTTAAATATATCGTTTTGGTATTACACTAAAGAGTTTTGTTTGATGACTAGTGAATCATTTCCGTGGTCGTTTACGAATGGCCTCTTTCATTTCATTATTTCAACAAGAAAAATTCCCTTTCTCACATAACTAATATGATTCGTAAATAAAAGGGCTAAGCCAATATGTGATTGTAGGCGAAATTGATATGCTTAAGCAAGTTAGAGTTTTACAATGATGAACTGGTCTTCATGTTTTAAAATTAGCTTTAGAACTGTACTACTTAATGCAAATTTCCTACTTTTGCACATATTGTGCATTTTGATTCTACCTGGTGTAAACTGGTTCTGCAAGAAGGCACTTTCATCAGTATATTATCAAACCATCAGCTAAGTTGAAGCGTTAAAGATAAGGTGTACTGTCATGAAGAAAGGCTTATATCATAACCTGTTCACATACAAAAATAATGTGAATACAACTGACAAAATTTCCAATATTTGCATTAAAACATGCTTATATAGTAATAATAATAACAGTAATAATAATAATAATAGTAATAATAATATACAAAGACAGGTTTCGACCCCTGAGAGTTTTATATTTATTTGTATGGTACAAACGTAGCAAAGGTGTACTTTAGACTAATGTATTAAGATTTTTTTTATTTGGAAAGACCTAAGATTAGTCAGTTCAGGAATTCTGTAGAGATTATTGTGCATCACTAATATATGTGCCTTGTTGTAATGACGGAAGATGAAACCTTCTTGTGTAAAACTTGGGCACTGTAGTAGGATTTAATTCCATGTAATATTTGTTTATTTGGTGTATTAAACCCAGTGATATGGTATTATTTACTTGATATTTCCAGCATAAGTTATAGCTCAGAATCATATCAATGTAATCACACTACTTTCGACATCTAAGTTTTATAGTTCTGTCACCTGTTATTCTTTGTTTTTATTCGTAGTAAAATGCTGTATATCTCCGGTATAGGTGTTCCGTCATTTTTATTACATGAGTTTGGTGTAAATCCGATGAACAAAAATTTAGTAATTACTCCGTCTCTTTCTCTCTCCCTCTATCTAATTATATTGAACTGACTTAAGTATAGTAGTTTTGTCCCATCCTATTATTTGGTTGTGTGTTACAGCATGCATTGCAATAGTCGAGTGTTTTTCTATATTATTGATCTTATTCAGGTCTGTCATTCCATATTTAGCTAAATTCCTATGTTTCGCTATTCTAACTGATCCTGATCAGTCGGGCTAGTTTGACTTATGTACTTGACCTCACATTCATTGTATGGGTTTCGATAGGTTAGACTATTTTGCTGAATGAATTCTACATATCTATTGAACATAAGGTTTGCGATGTGCTATTAATTTCATCCGAATTTAAAATAAAAAGGATCAAACTTTAATCTTTCAGTTATCTGATGATTATACTTGTTATAGCTTTTCAGTCGAATAAGACCATTAGGAGGTGAAACAATCATCAATTAAGGACCAAGTGTTTTATGCATTTCAATATTAGAGTACAATCAAGCAAAATCCTTGGTGATTGAAGTGAAATCGAAATCTGGTCAGCAGTTGGGCCTCCTAGCTCAGTTGGTAGAGCACCTGGCCAGAAACCTGGTGGTCACCGGTTCGAATCCGACCATGGTCTAAATTTCCATTACACTTTCAATCATTACCTAGTATCAAAAGTTTAATTCAACTTACACACAAAATATGATTTCTATGAGGATAGAAATGTTTTCATTTCGATTGCTTACCTTTTACTGGTAGGGTAGAAATACTGTAGAGATGTATGCAGAAACTGATTGAGAATACTATTAAATTATCTGAAGTAATAATGGTTTAGACTGGCTGATAACACGCGAATGTTGTTAAAGTCAATTTGGAGGTTTGTGGGGATATACTGATTTCAGTGTAGTATTCATCATGAACTGTTATCAGCCGGAGAATCACTGGAAACCTAGGAGGACTGGAAAGCAGTTTCGTCCTAGAGTGGGACTTATCAGTAGTGCTGACCCATGACTCCCTCAATGGGTCGAGTCCAGGACCTTCAGATCTCATGACCAGCACGTTACCGCTGATCCAGGCTTTCAATTGTCCTCCAAATGACATTAGTCCATGATGAATACTGCCCTGAAATATCTTAAAACCTTGATCATCCACTAGAGAGTAACTTATGTTATTTCATCCTAAATATTAACTGAATCTTGTCGATTAGACTTATATTGTGTTCATTGTTTAGGAAATTCACTAACTTTTATGCCTTTAATTTGATATTAAATGGTTTTAGACAATTTTCAGTTTCGTCCTTATTGGTACTCATCAACGAGACTTATTTTGAACTGATAGACGATAGAATGTTGCTGAGAAGCTGGTACTTGAGGTAGTAGATACTTCACTTAAAGGTTTTATCGGTGGGAACTTCAAGAAACAACTAAGCTTCGACCAGTGACCAGTCAGCATTACAGATCAGCTGTGCTTTGAACTGTTCATAGATTCTGTTTCGTGATGTTATTCAAAGGACATGAAAATATTTCGATAATGTAGTTAATAAGGATTCATTTTTATTGAGTAAAACTAGTCATTATTGAGTTACATAACTAACTTCTACTCTAATGTCATTAGTTTATATGACCATCCGATATAAAAAAAACCTCTTAGAAGTGTAATTAGTAGCATTTTTGAGGAGTGACGTCTGGTTCACAGCTGTTTCTTTCTCTAAATGAATCAGGATTTCTTGACTGAACTGTCATCTTTTGTTTGAAGTTGGACGTCAAGGAAGCAGAATTTTGATTTCGACTCTTCTTTTATAGTGAATTTGATAAAGGGATGAGCACTATTGAAGGTTTGAAGTAAGTTTTGAGATTTGTATTTTCGTCAGAAATAGTAAAGTTATCATCTCTGTATCTTTTGTAAATATGAAGCTTGCTGATTATTGTCGATAAAGTCATGTTTCCTAGGCTTGTCATAAAGCAGTCAGCTAGGAAGAGTCTTAGAGGCAGTCCCATTGCCACACAGTCTATCTGGCATTAGATTTCGTTGTTAAATCTGATGGACACATTGAAAGTATATCTGAGAAGTTCATTTCAAGAATGGGTTGGATTTTTGTGTAGCTTCATTCAGTCTCAAAAATTAAACATTGGTATTGCAAAGTGCTACTTAAACAAACTTTCTAGATGAACTTTCAACGTGTCCATCAGATTTAACAATGAATTCTGCAAACAGAAAGAGAGACAGACATACAGACGGTGTGGCATTGAGACTGCCCATCCTCCCAGCTGACTGCAAGTCTAAGAGACACGACCTTATCGAAAATAATCAGCAAGCTTGATATCTACAAAAGATACAGAGATGACACCATTAGTATTTGTGACGAGAATACAAATCTCAAAAACCCACTTCAAACCTTCAATAATGCTCATCCCTGTGTCAAATTCATTGTAGAAGAACAGACAGACTCGAAATTTCACTTCATTGATGCCAAAATTCGAAGAAGTAGAATTTCTTGAATTCGAATAGATTGTCGTAGTACCGGTACATACATGCACTGTTTATCAACCTTTAGATTTTCAACACCTGTTTTGGTAGATTTATTTCCTTTCAATATCTTTTCTGATTTTATTTCGGCGAAGCATAGTTTTCTTCTTTGTGTTTTCACTGAGTGTGGCAATTGTAACAAATACCTTTTTGATCAGAATTCTACCGTGTACTCTTCTGTTTACTCTAGCAAGCCAAATTGGGTTATAATCGTTAGAAGGTTGTGAAGATATTTAAAATTCTTATTCTGTTTACACTCCATATTGCTTTGCAGATCTGTTTACTTGACTGACGACCTCATTCATTTGACAAAATCTGAAAAGCACCACTTTACCATCTAAGCGTTTTTAGGGGGAAGAGCTTTTGAATCTATGAACAGCTTACTGTAACTTGAATGTCCACTATTATATTCAAAGCTTGAGAGAAAAATGAGCAATGTGTTATATTTGACTACTAGTTATACTTAACTTATCGTATCTTCAATTCAAAAACGGTATTTAATAGTTTCTTCCTAAGTGTTTCAAACTAAAATAAACTTTTCTGCATCTTATAATCTCATGAGAATATTTTCAAGGCTTTATTAATTTCATGGTGGACTCGCCCTTTTTCCGATTATAAGTTGACCCTGAAAAGGTTCATTTGTTTGCTGTTACTCTTTATGATAGAATAAACACATTATCAAAAAGTTTTTCGCTCATAATCTGTTCGTAAAAATATCCCAGGTTTCTTGATTTTTCAAAGAAAGAATAAAGATTGCTTACAGCTGTGAAAGCTCAGAGTGGTACTATATAACTTTTCATTACTCCATGAAATTTGTTTGTTATACAGTTAATGCAAAAAAAAACGCAAATTAAAATAAAGTGCACTACAATACTACTGATTAATCAAATGATTAGTATTACATGATTACTGTTGATGTTATCTAACCGAAAAATCGTTTCTCCTAATGTTCTATCTATTTGTTCAGGAGCATTTTGAGAAGAATGTTTTTGCTTGATTGT